AGGAGCCGACAGGGCATTCCCTGACTTCGCCACCCAGCCAGACCTGGAGTCTGCCCCAAACACAATCACAGATATTCCCAGGCTTGAATTCCATCCAGAGACTAGTCATTTGATGCAATTGCATGTGGTCTGAAAAACAAACTCCCACTCAAACATATTGTACTTGGGGAGACTGCAATCTTGATAATCATGTCTGCCAGAACTCAGGCCCACTCTGACCACAGGATCCTTCTGAAAGGCATGACCAACATAAGTGTGCACAATTCCACCATGTAATTTTTGTCTGGGAAATGAAATACCTCCGTCGTTACATCATTTTCCTTAGCATAGCGGTCCCTTGAAAGAATAAAACCTAAGCTCTCTTCCCAAAGCCAGCTATTGAAATAACCTTCTTTTCACACTCTCTCTTATCTTCCATGACCTTGTACAGCTTTCATACAGAATTTCTCGTTTTATCCTCAAAACAATGCATTGAGGTACGTATTATTATTCCTAATTCCTGGTCCAGCCCAGAATTCCTACTTCCCCTTCCCCCCCTCCCAGTGAAAGGTGACATCGAGCAGCCTGGCCAAACCACATCTGAGGAATCGGTTCCCTGTGACAACCCTGACCCCCCTCCCCTGACCCGCAGGCCTGACACAAAGGGACTGCCGGAAACTCCTGACAGCTGCCAAGCGGGCAGCCACAGCGTCCTGGAGAGAAATTCTAGACTCACAACAGAGCATTTCTAATCCAGTTTTTTATGGGATTGGGGTTGGAGGAGGGGGTTGGTGACCAGCCAAAGACGGGTGGCAGAATGACGAAATCATGCAAGCCCACAGCTCTGATTCACATCGTGGTGGGAATGGGGACAGGCCTCTGTGCCAACCAGAATGTTCCCGGTTACACACTGCAGTTAAAAATAGTGGCGGCTCAGGAGTGGGCATGTGGTCAAAAAGAAATTTTACTTTATCTGTAATATTCTAATTTTTTTTAAAGAAAGCATATTTGTGCATTAGTTATATAATTATAAGTTATCTTGAACGTTCAAAAGAAATGGTCATCACTGCTGCTTTGAGAGCCCCTGGGTACTGGGGTGGGCTGGCGGTGGGGAAGGACTTCTAACTTCCGCTCTAATTAACCCAGACACGCATCCTTCACATCCATTCAGGTTGGCCAGTGTTTGACTGCCCACCAACGCACAGCACAGCGCTTCACTGCCTACTAAGCACAAGGCATGTGGGTCCCTCTGGCAGAAAGAGCCTGGTGAAAGAGGTGATGAATCTCAAATCGTCTACACCCATAGTTGGGTGGGTGCAAGTTGGGGCAACAAACAGACAAGCAACTGACCATAACCAGAGACAGAGGAGGGAGGTCCTCTACCAGTGACCACATTGGAGTTGGACTTGAAGAACTGGTGGGATTTTGATATGTAAGGGAAGGGATGGTGCAGGGGTGGACAGTCTGGAAAGAGAAAACATCTTGGAAGAAAATTAGGGCAGAGATGAAAAAACTCATAGTCCTTTCCAATTCCACCCCCAGGGCCCTGTCCCTGATTCCTGCGCTCTGGGACGCCCCACCTGTGCACCACTCTTTTACATTTCTACCACCCCCCTCCATTCTGGGGGATCCCAGCAGGAGACGAGGTGTGAAAGCTCAGTTTTTTCGTTACTGTGGATATTCACAAGACTGCCTGCCCCGAGATAGACAGGAGTGCGAGGCAAAGGTCCAAGAGATTAAGGAATTTGCCCAGCTGATGAGGAAGGGAGTCAGGATGCTAACCGGGGTCTCCCCCACCACCAGCTGTCTAACAAGGTGGACCGTGTCTTGCTTAGACACGTAGATCCCTGAGTCAGATCAACCTGGTTTGAATCCCAGCTCTGGCACTCGCTGTGTGACCTTGAGCAAAGTCCTTAAACTCTCTGTGCCTCCGTTTCTATAGGTGCAAAATGGGGCTAATAATTCTTGTGCCAAAGCTGTTGGGCAGATTAAAAAAAAAAAATTAATGGGGGCCGGCCTGGTGGCGTAGTGATTCACATGCTCTGCTTCAGCAGTCCGGGGATCAAGGATTCAGATCCTGGGCGCAGACCTATGCACCGCTCATCAAGCCACGGTGTGGCAGGTGTCCCATATATACAACAGAGGAAGAAGGTCACGGCTGTTAGCTCAGGGCCCATCTTCCTCAATAAAAAGAGGAAGATTGGCAACAGATGTTAGCTCAGGGCCGATCTTCCTCACACACACGCACACAAAAATTAATGCCTGTAAAATGCTTAGCATAATGCCTGGGACATGGAAAATGCTTAAGCCTTCATTGGCTATTACCTCTTATCCCTCTGATCATTATGATTACTGCCCACTGTTCCTCATTTGGTGCCTGAATTTTACAGTCTGGCAGGAGGCTGGAGCCCGTCTGGCCTAGTCCTTAATCCCATTATCCTCCTCCGAGGGGCCCCCATCCCATCTGCAGACTTCACAAGAATTCTCTCCTCCTGCCTGTGTCATCGCTCCTCACTCATTATTCAGAGCCCTTCTGTTAGCACAGCTGCTTCTGGGGTCTGGGAATGCTCTGAGGACCCCAGGGGGGATCACACTAGAGTAGGTCTATCCAGTGGGCGGATGGGGCGGGGGTATGTAAGCAGCCTCCACATCCTGTTCCCACATCCCTGAAGCACCCCATCCAGCAGGCCACCACCCCTTCTCTTCCGGTGGCCTCCCCTGGGCCTGCTTGGATGAAAAGCTTGTCTGCACCTTGGCTTATGTGGGCTTTCTTGTGAGCTCACCCACAGGGGACATGAGAGCTTGGCATTCACCGCATCCTAGACCCTCCCAGCCTCACTCCTGGGGCCGAGTCCCCTCCATCCCTGACGGGTTCATCGAGGGTCAGGGTAGTGACCGGAAGGAAGCTCAGGGCCTCCAGAGATTTCCACCAAATGATCCCGGCTCTCCCCTCGGCAGCAACCCAAACCATCTTTCCTCCATGAGCACCAAGTGTCTGTCCCCACACTGCACATCTCTACTTCCGGAATTTTCAATGACGCTCATCTGCCCCCATCCCTTTAGTCTTCAGATGGAAAGCCAAGGGCCAAAGGCTTAAATCACAGCGCTGGCCCTGCAACTTGGAACCAGCCTTTTCCTCCTACACCAGTGGCTCCTGGCTTCTCTGCACGTTAGAATCACCTAGGACCTTTCAAAACCCCACAGTCCCAGCTGGACCAGTGAAGTCACACTCTCTGGGGTTGTGGATTTCTGGCAGGCATCAGTGGATTTCTGTAAGTTCCCTAAGCGATTCCAATGTGTGGACAAGTTTGGAAGCCACTGTCCTCCACCCCAGCACCAAGAGCCCCGACAAATGGCCAGGCCCCAATCTAGGTGCTTTGCGCGTTACTCATCTTTGCTTCATGATTCCTTTTTGCTTTCTGACATTCTGAACATCAGGAGGGACTTCTTCATGTATTAGTGAAAAGCTGCTAGGTATTTATCAGCTGTTGTAAAGTTGTGTATATGGTGTGCTCACTAAAGTTGAAATAAATTAAAATGCTTAGATACATGTGCAAGACTACAATCAAAATTCTCCAACTACACACTAATATCTTAACTGTGTTTATAAACAATAAAGGTGATTATTGAAGCTAATTAAAGATGGGCTTGATTTTTTACAAATAAAATTCTGGGAAACAGAAATACATATTAAATCCCCTTAAAGAATTTCAATATGAAGTATATAATATCCAAATGTTTCTAATGCAGTTGCAATTATCTGCAGATTTTTAAATTCTCATTGAGCTATGTGATACACTGTTTCATCATTTTTATTTATCTAACGAATTGCACCCTGCTTCTCCCTGTGAAAAGAACACAGGTAGACAAACAAATCTCCTCTGTTCACTTGATTCAATTATGCACATATAATTTTGGACATGTGTTGCCTTTAACAGAACTTGATTTCTTTGAATCTCAAAACTTTGGGTCAATTTGTCCAGTCATTTATAACTGTCCGGGTCATGGACTCCTTTTGAGTGTCTGCTAAAAACATTGGCTCTTTCTTGGGAAAAGGCACATACATGAAAGCAATTGTGCACACAATTTCTGGGAGCACACAGACTCCTAAAGTCCCCCAGTTCCCCAGTTGAGTCCAAAAAATGAAGAAACAGAAGCCCAAAAGGCTGAGGTCACTCAAGCTGCCAGTTAATCAGGATTCGAACTCTGAGCTCCCAACCCTATGGCCATTGAGGAGAGACAGGCCGGGGGCCACTTTGCCTGGGTTCAAAGCCTGATTCTCCTGCCTCCTGGCTGTGTGACGTGTGCAAGTCACATCGCCCCTTACTGCCTCGGTTTCTTTATCTGCAGATGGGGATGATGAAAATAGAACCTTCCTCACTTGTCTGTCACCCCATCAGCCTTACAGCCATGTTTGCTGTAATTATTTACAAGTGAGGGAAGAGAAGCTCAGGGAGCTAGGCTGTTGCCCTAGGTCACCAAGCTACTGTGTGATGTGGCCCGAAAGCCTGCAGTCTTGGCACACACCACTCTGCATGCCCAATTCCTTCTGGACCCTGTTTTCAAAGTCGTCACCAACAAGGACCAGAGGAGGAGACAGGAAGTCCAGGAGCTGCTCTCAGGAAGCAGCCTTCCGATTCAACACAGCAAGCCATGTCTCTCCGGCTGAGGAAGGACCAGCGAGAGGAACAGGAGAGGGGAGTTCTGTGGAAGTGTTCTGTGGAAGGGGATAGAGATACTCAGAGGCAGTGAAGCCAGCCTGGGTGAGAGGAGGGGCTGCTGCCCAGGGGAGGCCTGGCCTCTGGCTCCCTTCCTCGAGGTCGTAGAAATGGTCAGTGACAGCAGCACGGGGTGACAGCACAGGCAGGCGGAGGCAGTGGGGGCAGGCTAGGCTGGCCAAGCTACAGACGGGCTTCCTGGGAGTGTCCAGCTGCAAGAACCTTGGAGCAGCCCTGGGCTGGGAATTCTGAAAAACCCCTCCCTCCCCAGAGCTGTGGGCTGGGTTGTGGGAACACTTTCAGTTTTGTTTTCTAGTCTGCGAGAAACAGAAACTCAACAGGAAGACTGCGGAGACCAGAAATGGAGGGGGCCTTCCAGGCATGCAGGAACTGGTAAGAAGTGGCTTTCCCTAGCTGCGGGCCTGAGGCTGGCTGGTGAGAGGGGCAGCAGGACAAGGCGGCTTCTGAAGTGAGGAGGAAGGGTCCGGACATTGCTATGGGTGGGACGGGGTGGGCACTGTGCCCCAGGTAAGAAGGTTTAGACTCAGTGGATCTCTGAGATGATGAGATGGCAAGAGGTGGGCAGCATTACCTTAATATCACTGAACCCCGCCCCCTCCCCGAGATATTTTAGACTTTCTGGGACAGTCCTAATTCAAATAGCCAGGCTAATTGTCCCTGCTGGGCTACTCAGGCTTGTCAGATCTTGGGTCCTAATTTGTGGTTCTGATCACCAAGTCTTCACACCGGTCTTTGACAGAAAGGGGCCCACGGAGGTTCTCCAGGACCGTTCCCAACCTCTCCTTGAGAGGGAGCTGTGGAGCGGGGTGGGGTGAGGGGGACAGAGGATCCTTCCCAGAGAGCTTTGCTCCAGACAGACCCTCCTGGCTCCCTGGTGTGTGGACCAGCTCAGGAAGAAGAGCAGAGGGGACGGGGCAGGGAGAGCAGAGAGAGAAAGGGGCCAGGCCAGGCAGGGGGCAAGAACAGAGGAGGAACGGGAAAGTGGAGAAGGCTTGGTCCATCTGGGCAGCACAGAAGCCATGAGCTTGTTCAGATCAAGAGGAGTGAGGCTCTGGCTGCTCCCCTCTGGCCACATCCCCTGTGCCAGGGCCTCGGGGGTGCAACTCTCATCCTCACTGGGGCTTTAGGGCTGCAGCCTCTGAGTTTCCTTTCTCCCAAGCTGCCACAAGCAAGAGCTGATGGAAATGAAAGGAGGCATTTTGCAGTGAGGAGGAGGGTTAAGAAACCCCCTGCCCGGGACCCGGGAGGCTCGGAAGCTTCTGTTCTTTGGGGTCTTCAAGAAGGGCCTCGGGATCTCTCTGAGTTGCACAGGTCAGCCTGGAGGCAGGGCATCAGTGGAGGCCTCAGCTCTCGGAGCCGTGGGAAGCTCTCGCTGTGGAGATTCTGAAAGCTGGTGTTGCCCTTGCAGGAGGCATGGGCGTGGCGGGGCTGGATTCCCAAGCAGCCGTGTACCAAGCGGGGGAACACTTGAAAACAAGACAAAATACTGGAAAGAATTTGATATTTGTTCTTTCACTTTTCAAACAGCTTTACCAGGGTACAATTGACATAAACTGCATTTATGGTACATTTTTGAAGTGTACTATCTGACACATTTGACACATGTAGATACCCATGAAACCATCACCACAGTCAAGATAATGAGCCTGTCCATCACCCCTAAGTTTCCTCAGGCCCCTTGGTAATCTCTCCCTCCTGCTCCTTCTCACCCAGCCCCACTCCATCCGGGCAATGTAAGAGCTTTGTAGAGCGTCCTTACACTTATTTTATGATTTTGTGTTGTTCTGAATGGGGAGCAACATGGGGAGGGGGCATCATCATCATATTTTCAATGCTTGAGGCCTCGAAAGATCTTAACCCAGCAGCCCGGGTATGAAACATGACTCCATGTTTTATGCCAAGAAGTAAGCCTGTTTTCCTTCCCCCTTTGCTCCTGCAGCAAAAGAAGCATGGCCCCTGCCCACTTGGCCCTCCACGAGGCCCACTGCCTGCTGTTCCTGGTCCTCTGCCCGGAGTGCAAGGGACCCGTCCCCCCGGCAAAGAAGGAAGAGCATTGTGAGAACGGGCACCAGCAGGTGAGGAGGCAGAGGTGGAGCGCGGGGAGGCCAGCCAGAGTCTAGTCCTCGCTGCAGCAACTTGCTTGGCTGGTAGGGGCTAACCATTTAGCCCCTGCACGCCCCAGCCCCCGCCTGTGACGTGGAGATGGTGATTCTGCCTTTCTCACACTGAACTGAGTCTACCCCGCTTTTCCCATTCCCAATCCTTTCCCTACAGGCTGATGGGTTCGGCCAAGACAAGGGGTCCCTGTTTCAGAAAAGGTTGAATGTTCTTTTGAGATTTGTGAAGAGGGGAAGCAGGAAAGGAAAGTTCTAGAAGGCAGTCATGGCCAAGGTCAGTCAAAGGCTGACTTTTCTTTCCTGCTCTTTCATGTCAGTCCCTCCTGGGGTCCCTTTTCTGTCTTTCTGATTCTCAAGCTCAGGCATCCATTTCAACTCTGTGGGTCCCACAAACACTTCTTGCACACGGGCCCGGTGCTGCAGAGAGCCTGAGGAGCCACACCTGATCCCCACCCCCGAGGAGCTCACAGACCCGGACCTAAAACACGTGAACTGAGGCAGATGTGGGGAGAGGCGGCAAGAGCTGGGTGGGAGCTGCATTTCTCTCTGTGTTTAGGTCTGGTGTGCGATGTGTCAGCAGAGCGTGCAGAAGCACTTGCTGGAGTTTCATGAGGTGAGAGTCCAGAGTGATTTCTCCTTAACCGCCAAGCAGCCAACCTGGGAGGAGAGGAAGGGCGAGGAGGGGCCGATAATCAAGATTTCCACTTGACCTCTCTCTTCTCACCCAAGTCGGCGCGGGGAACAATGGAGAACTAGCCCGCCACAGGGACACAGGTCCTGCTGTCCCCTAGATGCCGGTCAGAAGGGCTTGCCCCGGTCCATGAGCCCAAGAGAGCTGTATTCCCAGAGGAGAGTGCCCTCTCTAGCACTTCCCATCGGCTTTCTCTTATTGGCCTCAGTTCCTAGGGAAATAAGCAAATATCCCTATCCTGACCAACAGGGCTGCAGTCACTGCAAGCCAGTGACCATGCCCGTCCTGCCTGCCTCCCCGCAGGCCACGGAATGCCCGGACCGCCCTGTTGAGTGTAAGTTCTGTAAGCTGGCCGTGCGCCTCAGTAAGTTGGAGATCCACGAGCACCACTGCGGCAACCGGACAGAGCTCTGCCTACACTGCGGCCAGCCCATCATGCTCCAAGAGCTGGCCCAGCACACAGACGTGTGTCGGGGTGAACAGGCCCAGCTCAGGAAAGGTGAGCAGCAGAGGCTGGGGAGGAAAAGGGAAGCTTCAAGGAAAGGGAGCATCTCCTGGATGGGATGCAAGAACGCAGGCTCCCATCAGGACGGATAATGTATGTCTATGACAGACGTGCGCATATCAAATTCATCTGGCTATTTGAGTTCTAGACCACGTACGAGAGTAGCCTTCTTGTGTATCTGCTATGGTCTTCAAATGACTGGTCCAGGGAGACCAAGAGGCCAGGGGGTGGAGGCCTGGGAGCCACACAGATAGGTGCAGAGGCAATGGGGGCCCTACAACATGGGAGACTTCTTTTGAATCCTCCAGCACCATCCTAGCCGGGCAGAGACCCACCTGCATCCTTTCACAGATGAGAAACCCATGCACAAAATGAAGCAGGGGCTTGCTAGAGGAAGAAATAAGACTGGACACCAAGTTTCCCAACACTAAATCGGGAGCTTTTTCCACCATCGGCAAGGGACCGAAGGGAACCAGCTGTAGCTCCCGGCCTTTGGCCTGTGTGTTGGCTCCCTGGTACCATTTCACGTTCTCTGGACCCAGCTACCTCTTTATGAGGTGTGTTTACGGAGAACACAACCCACCAACGTGACAGATCTGTTGACTCCACTGGTTGTTTTGGTAATGTAGTGACATGTGGAAAGAGCCTATAGCACCCCTTGGACAGTGCCTCTCTCCCGGTACACAATCTACCCACGGACAAAATTGGCAAACGAAAAACTGGAATGCTTGCGATTCATATTCATTTCCTTCATTCCAGCATGGCTGGGCTTCAACACAAGCAACACAACTTGAACACAACTTCATCAACACAACACAACTTCAACAAGACAACACAACACCGCTTCAACACAATCGACAAAGATATGTACGATAACACCCAATTTGATCACAGAGCTCAGAAACTGGTGAATGAAAGAGCAGTCAGATTAGACGGGACTGGCATCTGTGGTAACAGCTCTCTTGTCTCCTTAGAAACCAGTCCTGCTCCAGGAAAATGTCTCTTCATCAGGGTGGCATGCTGCCCTGAGTGCAGATCTGCAGCTATAAAGGAAATGATGTGGATGATTTGGCCAAGGGTTTCCTGTGTGGCTGAGGACAGTGACAGTGCAGGACACTCACGGCCAGGCAGGCCCGGGGGGCAGTTCATATTCATGACTATAGGCCACGTACACACTTGTGGGAAAGTTGGGTTTGCCATTGTCAAGGACAATCATTTGTGGTATTGTCTCTGTGCTTATTCAGGGAAGAGAATTTCAGCTCCTGAAAGCAAAATCTACTGTCATTATTGCAACCAAAAGATTCCAGGAAATAAGTATTTCCACCATATGGTGAGTAGCAATTAGTCATTTTCTAATGGTGCCAATAGCTAGTCCATATTTGAAAGTGTGATATGAAAGGCAGATTCTGGGCCCAATTTTACATAGCATTCATATTAAAGGCTCCCATATTTATTTTTGCTTTGTTCAAAAAGGGATGTTAGTGAATTGCTTTAGGCTAATTTAGCATACATAATTGGTCTCCATCTGTGCCAGCCCTTCAAGGAGCCTCCCTGACCAGTCTAGCTATCCTGATCACCTCTGAACATCTTCCACCTCCAAGGGCTAGGCATTACAATTGGGTCCTCAATAGGACCTGCCTTATTATTTTCTGTCCCTTGTGGGAGTCTTCTCTATTAGGCCATGAGCTCCCTGCAAAACTGAATGACTTTGTCCATCTTCCCACAATGACGCTGATACCAGGGCTGGGTACAAAAAGGGGCCTCAGTGGAGGTTCGATGACTTGATTGATTGGTTGGTTGGTTTGCCTGAAACACCCACAGACTTCCCTCCAAAGCTTTAAGCACCTTTTAGCGCATTAGCTGTGCCAAGTCGCTCCCCCCTTTTGCAGGATGGAGCATTTTCCCTCTCAGAAAACTTACCAAGGCTTCTCTCCAAGGAACTCATCTCCTCCTTCTTGGGCAGAGAGTTGTTTATCCTTTCTTAAACCTTCAAATCAGAGAACTATAGCATATCAGAACTAAGAGACCCTACAGATGATCTAAATCTTTTGTTTATTGTGGTAAAATACAACATAAAATTTATCATTAGCTACACTTAGTACATTCACGATGTTGTGCAACCATTACCACTGTCTAGTTCCAGAACATTTTCATCACCCCAAAAAGAAACCCCGTACTCATTAGTAATCACTCTCCACTCTCCCAGCCCCTGACAACCACTAATCTGCTGTCTGTCTCTATGGATTTGCGTATTCTGTACATTTCATATAAATGGAATAATATAACATGTGGTCTTATGTGACTGGCTTCTTTCTCTTAGCGTAACATTTTCAAGATTCATCCATGCTGAAGCATGTGTCAGTACTTCATTCCTTTCACAGCCTTTTTATGGTCATATCACACTTTGTTTATAAAATCCATTCATCTGTTGGTAGACATTTGGGTTGTTTCCACCTTTCAGCTCCTTGCTTTTTGAAGTGTAGTCTGTAGACCAGTAGCATCAGTGTCACCTGGGAGGTTGTTACAAATGCAGAATCTCAGGCCCCACCCCTAGAAATGCTAAACCAGAATATGCGGTTTCACAAGATCCCTGGTGTTTCAAGTCTGAGAAGCACTGCCCCAGCCAAGTGATTCTCAGCCTTGGCTGCACATTGATTCACCTGTACTTTTGTTTTCCTTCATACTGATGCTTATTCTATCACATCAGTGGTCCACGTCTTTTGTTTGAATCAGAAGATACTTGGTGAGCACCAAAACAAGGGTGAAGCTGACTAACCCCTTCAAAATGTCCCGACTGCAAGGACACCTACATACTTAGTGCCCGGGGGGTGGGGTGGATGGGGGCAGGGGAGACTCTAATAAACATGGAACTGGATTTGTGGTCAGAAACTCGGAATTTTAGTTCTGCTCTGCCACTTACTGGCTGTGTGGCTTCCCTGGGCCTCTTTCCTCTTTTGAGGAAAATGAGGATAATGATTTGTCTAGTTCTTCATGAGAAGAGAACTTCCATGACCACTCATACCAGATGTACCTCCATACTAGCATCCACACGCACACACTCTGCTTCCCACCTGCTTACCACAGAGGAGCTGTCTATGTTCCCATCTAGCGCAGTTCCCGTCTGGCCGCTGCACTGCATCCCATCTTTCTTGCCTACACAAGGTCATTGCTCCGTTGCTCCAGCAATCTCCCTGTTTCTCCTACAACAGGGAGAGGGGCACACACAGGCAACAACAAAGTCCCAAATTGTTCACTCTAGTGTGTGCTAACACTTGTTATGATAGCAAGTTTTTAAAGGGGTAATATTAAAAAGTACTTACCTTTGGCCCTGCCTGGTAAGCATTCTCTCTCTTTTTTTTTTTTTTAATTTGCAAATTAGAGACTGAAATCATTTATGCCAGGTGGTTTTAGGGTTCTCAGTCTTTCCTTTTATATTAACATGACCCAAAAAACAGAAAAACAAAAAATACTTCTCTTGACCTCATCTCCTGCCAGCCACCATCTTGTTTCTTTGTGCCCCTTTGTAGCAAAACATTTGAACAAGTTGTCTATGGTCATTGTCTTCATTTCTTCTTCTCCCGTCCTTATACCCACTCCAGTCTGACTTTTCGTGCCTGCCCCCACAAACTGCTCTTGTCAAAATCATCAGTGACCCTCACATCGCTAACTCCAGTCATGAGCACTCTGCCCTCAATTTATGAGGAACATGTAACATCACTCCTCATCATCCCTTTTCCTCAATTCACCTTCTTGGCTTCCAGAAGGCCATACTCTTCTGGTTTTCAATTACCTCACTGGTCTCTCCTCCTCTTGCTCCCCAAACTCCTAATTTGAGGGTTTGCCTAGGGTTCAGTCTCTGGTCTCTTCTCTACCTATACTCACTACCTCGATAATTTCATCCAATCTTACGATTTTAAAAACGCCTTAGGTAGGCAGACACTCCCAAATTTATATCTCATTTTGGACTTTTCTCCCAAACTCCAGACTCGTGTGTCGCTGCTTACTCAGCATCTTCACTTGGATGTTTTATAAACGTCTTAAGTGTGACACATCCAAAATGAAATCCTCTCTGCCACAGCTCTTCCCACTCAGTGGATGGTAGCTCCATCCTTCCAGTTGTTCAGGTCAAAATTTCAGGGTCATCCTTGACTCCTCTCTTTCTCTCAAACCTTACATCCAATCCATTAGGAAGCACTACTTTTCCCACCCTCACTGTTACCATCCTGGTGCAAACCACCGTCATCACTAGCCCAGATCAATGCAGTAGTCTCCTAGCTGGTCTCCCTACTTCTAACCTTGCCACCTCCAGTCTATTCTCACCACGGCAACCAACATGATCCTTTAAAACTACAAGTCAGACTGTGTTGCTCCTCTACTCAAAGCTCTGTACTGGCTGCTCCCTCTGCCTGGAAGCCGCTCACCACCACCACCACGTTCCCAAAGCTAACTCTCACCTCCTTCGAGTCTTTGCTCAAATGGCACCCTCTCAAGGAGATGTACCTTGACGATCTATCTATAATTACAACTCCCTCCCCCATCCCACATTTACCATTCTCCTTACCTTCCTCTACTGTTTTCTTTTCCATAGCATTTGTCAACTTTTAACATATTATCTAATTTACTTATTTATTATGGTCCTCTTAATTGTCTGCCACCACCCCAGTTAAAATACAAGCCCCACTGCTCCCCTTCATCCTAACTGCTCCCCAGACACAAATACTCTACTGTCTAACTCTTTTAGCTGTTTCTTCTGGTATTTAGCTCCATATTTCTAAAGCACCTTCTTATACTGCTATTCCTTTTTTTTTTTTCAATTTTAGATATCATCTATTGACTCATAATGATTTAGGGATGTGGATTTTGCTTTCTTAAACCACCTATTCTGCACACATCTCCAAGTTTCTTCCCTCTATCCTCCTAAATTATTGATATCATCCATTCAGGTTAAGTCAATGTTCAATGTGATGTTATTATGACCATGTAAATATTATAAATGGCTATGCAAAAAAATTATTGTTATATTTGCTTTCTTCTATACTTTCTGTTTTCCCTGGTGTTAATAACTGCTTCAGTTTTTCATGTGCTTCACTTTCTAGGTACCTATCACTAAATCAGCCCTAAAACTCTCTACCAGATCTGAAAATTTCCCCCTCAGTACAGTCAAACACATCAGGTATTCTATCTATTTTATTTGGGGGGCATGTGGCTCCCCAGCCTGATGAGTAGCTATCATTCTGGAATTTCTTCCACTCTCTCCAGTGTTGGAGTTCTGTTCCCCAAATTTCAGGTTCAAGTCTTTTTCTTTCTTGGTTTACTCCTTCTTTGGTAGAGCATATCCTTCAATAATTTCTTGAGAAAGAAAGCATGGGAAGCAAATTTTTTAGACCTATATCTCTGAAAATGATAGCTTGGATGGCAATAGAATCTATCTACCATCTTAAAAATTTTTTAACACTATTACAAAAATTTTTAAACAAATACAAAAGTAGAGAACTAATATAATAAACCCCTATGTACTCATCACCCCAATATATCAATTATCAAAGTTTTCAATATTTGCTTCAGCTATCCTTTTTTTGTTTCTTTTCTTATTTTTTTTTCAAAAGTATTTTTTTCATTGCTTCCTTTTTTAAAATTATTTTATTGAGGTCACATTGGTTATAACACTGTGAAAATTCCAGGTGTACATAATTATATTTTGGCTTCTGTGTAGACTGCATTGTCCTCACCATCAAAAGTCTACTCTCCATCTGTTACCATACATATGTGCCCCTGTACCGCTTTTGCCCTCCTCTCACCCCCTTCCCCTCTGGTAACCACTATTTTGTTCTCCTTATCTATGTTTTTGTTTGTTTGTTTGTTTATCTTCCACATATGAGTGAAATCATACAGTATTTGTCTTTCTTTGTCTGACTTATTTTGCTTAGCATAATACCCTCAAGGTCCATCCATATTGTTGCAAATGGCATTTTTTATGGCTGAGTAGTATTTCATTGTATATGTATACCACAGCTTCTTTATCCATTCATCCATAGAAGGGCACTTGGGTTGCTTCCACATCTTGGCTATTGTTCATAATGCTGCAATGAACATAGGGGTGCATAAATCTCTTTGAATTGTTGATTTCAAGTTCTTTGGCTAAATACCCAGTAGTGGGATAGCTGGATTGTATGGTATTTCTATTTTTAATTTTTTGAGAAATCGGCATACTGTTTTCCATAGTGGCTGCACCAGTTTGCATTCCCACCAGCAGTGTATGAGGGTTCCTTTTTTTCCACGTCTTCTCCAATATTTGTTATTTTTTGTCTTGGTAATTATAGCCATTCTGAC